TCTTTGTTTCTTCTTTATTTCTTTTTTGTTTTTGTTTTCTTTAATTCCCTGCAAGCTATCTCGATGGTCTAGATAACTGTTCAGACAACACTCTCTGATGCCAGATACCATAACCATAATTTTTCATTTTTTTTAATTGAAGATGGAGGCTGGTCCGGGAAATAGAATCTGGACCCACGCTTCCAATTATTGCAATTCACTATTGGTTTTTCCCCCTCTTCCCTTCACTTCTATTGTGATATTTTTCATACATAGGGAACATCGGACTGTCATTTTTTTTTTTAATCCTCGCGATGTTTTCTTACATTGTGATGGGTCTACCATCTGCAATATCACCCATCAGACTTTAGTCGTGATTTGTTTAATAATGAAGTAGTTATTTAAACTTATGTGCGAGTCTTTCAGTGCCTTCATTTTCTAAATGAGTTTCGAGTCGTTTCTCGAGGGATGCTTCTGCTAACCACCGCGCCCCCCCCACAAAAAAAAAAAAAAAAATCACCAATTGAGATAACTAGTCTGAATTTTAATTCTCCAGAAGTGCCCCCCCATTTTTCAGGTCAATTTTTTTAAAAAATCTCACAGAATAGTGTAATTTTAAACATGCAATATGACCTCTTCGCGAAAATTTGTTTACAAGTATGTGGAAGATGAAATGCATTGCTTGTGCTTGTTGATGGGATGTTAAGGCCTGGTTTACTTATTTCTTGGTGGTTGGACAAACATTGCAGGAGCAACCTCTTTCCTTTTTACTGAATATAAGTATGTGGGAATCTTCATGGTGGCTTTTGCAATCTTGATATTCCTTTTCCTTGGTTCTGTGGAGGGATTCAGCACGAGTCAACAGCCTTGCACCTATGACAAAACTAAAATGTGTAAGCCAGCTCTTGCAACTGCCGTTTTCAGTACTGTATCTTTCTTGCTTGGCGCAATCACATCAGTTATTTCTGGTTTCCTTGGGATGAAAATTGCAACTTATGCAAACGCACGAACCACACTGGAGGCAAGAAAGGGCGTTGGGAAGGCTTTCATCACTGCATTTAGATCTGGTGCTGTTATGGGATTTCTCCTTGCTGCAAATGGCCTTTTAGTTCTATACATTGCCATCAACTTGTTTAAGCTTTACTATGGTGATGACTGGGGTGGTCTTTTTGAGGCCATCACTGGTTATGGTCTTGGAGGGTCTTCTATGGCTCTGTTTGGCAGAGTTGGTGGAGGTATCTACACTAAGGCTGCTGATGTTGGTGCTGATCTTGTTGGCAAGGTTGAAAGAAACATTCCCGAGGATGACCCAAGAAACCCAGCTGTGAGTATGAACTTGCTGAAGTTAGTCGCTCCTTTTTTTTATTACTTTACTAATGTTTTGTCTTGTTTGTACTTATCCTGTGTCTGAATCAACTGTTGTGTACTCAGGTGATAGCAGATAATGTTGGTGATAATGTTGGGGATATAGCTGGTATGGGATCTGACCTTTTTGGGTCATACGCCGAGTCATCCTGTGCTGCTCTTGTTGTTGCTTCCATCTCCTCATTTGGGGTGAATCATGAGTTGACCGCAATGTTATTTCCTCTCATTATCAGTTCTGTGGGAATCGTCGTTTGTTTGCTTACCACATTATTTGCAACTGACTTCTTTGAGATAAAGGCTGTTATGGAAATCGAGCCAGCATTGAAAAAACAACTCATAATTTCCACTTTTTTGATGACTATTGGGATTGCAATTGTTAGTTGGATTGCACTTCCATCTTCCTTCACTATATTCAACTTCGGAGACCAGAAAGAGGTCAAGAATTGGTTAGTCCATGCATTTCATTTGCTTATTGTAGAAATCACTTTTTAAATTTACGGATCATTGAAGGGATGGGGTTCACGTCACTTATGAGGGTGATTACAGTTGGTGGTTATCTTCTTAACTACCTGACGAACTTTATAGCTGATTCAAATTAACATATTTCTCAACTAACTTCTGCTGACTACACTTTTGACTAATAATTGCTACTCCCATGCACCAGTTTCGTTGAACGGGTCTATATGTCACTAAATAAAGGACATGATGATCTTTATAAACTGAATCGTATGAATTTGATTGCAATTGTGTCAGGAAAAGAACTGGTGTGGCAGGTCTCATCTAAAATCTTGTGTACAAATGGGAAAGTACTACTTATTCTCTTATCTGAGGACTCATTTAAATGATTTTAATTTGCAGGCAGCTATTTTTGTGTGTTGCTGTTGGTCTTTGGGCTGGGCTAATTATTGGATTTGTGACTGAGTACTATACCAGCAATGCCTATAGGTAAGGCGTTTTGGGTCATTCTGTGCCTTTTCATCTGATTCTTTAGGCGTTGGCTTTACTTGAACTCTTTTTATTGTTTCTGCAGCCCCGTGCAAGATGTTGCAGACTCATGCAGGACTGGTGCTGCTACCAACGTTATGTTTGGCCTTGCCTTGGGATACAAGTCTGTTATCATTCCAATTTTTGCCATTGCAGTCAGCATTTTTGTTAGTTTCAGCTTTGCTGCCATGTATGGTATTGCGGTTGCTGCACTTGGGATGCTGAGTACCATAGCCACTGGTTTGGCCATTGATGCATATGGTCCAATCAGTGACAACGCTGGTGGTATTGCTGAGATGGCTGGCATGAGTCACAGAATTCGAGAGAGAACTGATGCTCTTGATGCTGCGGGAAACACAACTGCCGCTATCGGAAAGGTTTGCATTTTCATTCTGATTCCTTTTCATTCAATGGAAACATTAGCTTTTTGGTTGATGCCTGAGACCTCTTGTTCTTCTGTTGTAGGGGTTTGCAATTGGGTCTGCTGCTCTGGTGTCTCTAGCACTTTTCGGTGCCTTTGTGAGCAGAGCTGCTATCTCAACTGTTGATGTGCTGACTCCGAAGGTTTTCATTGGTTTAATTGTGGGTGCGATGCTTCCTTACTGGTTTTCCGCCATGACCATGAAGAGTGTTGGAAGTGCAGCTTTGAAGATGGTTGAGGAAGTACGCAGGCAATTCAATACCATGACAGGTTTGTTAGAGGGCACCACCAAGCCTGATTATGCTAGATGTGTGAAGATCTCCACTGATGCTTCCATCAAAGAGATGATCCCACCTGGTGCTCTTGTCATGCTCACACCTCTCATCGTTGGAATTATTTTCGGTGTTGAAACACTATCTGGCGTTCTTGCTGGAGCCCTTGTATCTGGTGTACAGGTAGGTTCTAATATTTTCTACAATCACATACATAACTCTCAACTCCCATGACAGACGCAGTTTTTGACTTGAAAGTTTTGTTTTATACTTCATTTTCTTATGGAACTGTTTATAGATTGCTATCTCTGCTTCCAACACTGGCGGTGCGTGGGATAATGCCAAGAAGTACATCGAGGTAAAAGATTTGATTGGGTATTTTTAGCAACAAAAGATGGCTAATTATTACATGGTCTCATTTTCAAATTGTGTAAATATTTGGTGTGATATAGGCTGGTGCTACTGAGCATGCAAGAACACTTGGTCCAAAAGGGTCAGATCCTCACAAAGCAGCTGTTATTGGTGACACCATTGGTGACCCTCTCAAGGATACATCTGGACCATCGCTTAACATTCTGATCAAGCTGATGGCCGTCGAGTCTCTGGTGTTTGCTCCTTTCTTCGCTACACACGGTGGCCTGATCTTCAAGATCTGAACTTCGATCGCAGTGAGGATAACCTGTAATTTCGAGATATAAAATGGCGGAAGAAAAACAAACAGAAAAGAAGTCACTTGTACCATGTCTGTACTGTTGTTTCTCTTAACTGATCTCGTCCTTTCCCATTCTTTCTTGTCAGCTCTTTCCCTCCCTCTTGCAGCAAAAACCAAGTATATCTGTCCCCCTGTAATGTGTATCTTTGAGATAGTTGATTAGGCTGAATCGTCATAGGAAATTTTCCTTGTAAAGAGGTGGTTGATGATGATGATAATTTTCAATCTCCGGTTCCAATGGTTCCACCTGCTCTGTCATTTGAGATTTATCAGAACATGTTGTCAATATATTGATTTTCCCTTGAGATAGATAACCTCGTTCTTTTCATGTCTTCTATGACTAAAAGAAAAACTACCTTGACACTATAATATAAGTTGACTTTTAAAAGTACCTTGATCGGGCAATGGATAAATTTTATATATATTTTTTGTTTATATTCTTTTTTTTATTTTTTGTTTTTGAATGTTCTATATTTAAAAATCATTCACGTGATATTAGAAATTTCAAATAAGAGTTAACCAACAAAGGAGATTCGTAGTTGAGAACGTTGGGTAAGCGTCCCCATCCGCAGAAGACGACAAGGGTGGGTAGGACTGGGTCCGTGTCTGATTTCCATTTCCGCACGTTTGTATATGATAAATATTTAATGTTGATACTATGAAAGTGTCGGTATATTTTCTGCAAGAAAATCACCAAAATTAATTATTTTAAGTTAATATTTAAATATTTCATTTAAATGAATTTTTTTAGATAATTAACTTAAATTATTCTTTTTCAGTTTTTTATATTTGCAAATTTTCAGGAATATATACATTTTGGGCCTGATTCAAACTATTCTATTACACAATTGGGCTCAGGATTTTAGGAAATTACAGATTTGAAATCATGGGATCCGACCTGACCTATCGAAACCGAATGAGCATCCTGAGAAACGATAGCATAAAGACGAACAATACGATCCAATCTCACCAGGCAGGTTTTATCAATTCCAGGATCAGATTCCGAAGGAAAATGCTAAGAAGGCCAACTAAAATCGAAGTGAAGGTCGAAGATAAAGAAGAACTCGAGGAAGCTCGCAGAAGCAGCGCCGCCGCCTCCGCCACCCCTTCCAATATCACCACTGGCGCCGGTGCTCTCCTCCCTCAGCTCGATCGCGCCAAGGATTCCTCTACCAAAGCGCATCGCATTGGCATTTCCTCCTAAACAAACACTAAATTTTCCCTCTAGAGCACTTAACACACGCCTACTTTCTCCTTCCCCATCATCTCCAATGGAGGTGGAAGTGAAGCTGCGGCTACAGAATGCAGAAGCTCATCGTCTGGTCACGACTTTACTCGCTCCGTTTCACATCAAAACCCACCTCCAAGAGAATCTGTTCTTCGATGGCGCAGCCGGGGAGCTCTCGTCTCGCCGCGCCGTTCTCCGGCTCCGATTCTACGACGATGACGCCCGCTGTGTCGTTTCGCTGAAAGCCAAGGCGGTTTTGGTCAACGGCGTGAGTCGGGTGGAGGAGGATGAAGAGGATCTGGACCCGAAGGTCGGTCGCGATTGCGTCGCTGAACCGGGGAAGTTGGATTCAGTGTTGGAGTCGAGGGTGCTAAGGAGGGTGAAGGAGGAGTTTGGGGTTGTGGGTGAGAAGGGATATGTGGGCTTAGGAGGGTTTAGAAATGTGAGGAGTGTGTATGAGTGGAAGGGTCTGAAACTGGAAGTGGACGAGACTAGTTTTGGTTTTGGAACGTTGTACGAGATTGAGTGTGAGAGTGCTTATCCTGAAAGGGCTAAACAGGTTCTCGAGGACTTTCTGAAGGAGAATGGGATTGCTTATTCTTACTCTGAGATGTCCAAGTTTGCAATTTTTCGATCAGGGAAACTGCCGGAGTGAGTGAAACTTCAATCTTTTTGAACTAATTATTATTATTTTTTCTTTGCTCTGGTTTGAAATATCTGGTGTTCTTAATTATCCGGGCAGTACTCGTTCTTATTTCCAGTTACCGAGTGACATTCTATTGGCTTCCCCTGTTTATTATGGTTTGAGTCCCCAATTTTGTCTTTTTATCTTTTGATTGTTTTATTAATTTTGGTTGTAGAACTATAATATTCCTCTTAAACACCGTGATTATTCAAGATACTTTATTCTATAGATGTGTGAATACACAGAAAAAGGTTCCGTAGTAATGTTTCATTGAATTGCCCTAATCCTTACCACTTGAAGCAATGCATTTGTAATGTTGATTTTGTATAAAACTTGCATTCTCTACCCATTTATTTTATATAATACACTCAGCCCATCTAGTTTCAGCTTAAAACTAGAGGGGTGTGACCAAAGATCTTAAAAAAATTTTGATGAGCTATATGTAATTTACCTCAAGGATCCTCATTTGAGAAGAATCAGATCTTGTGTTTTCGGCCCAAAGAGGAAGGACCTTGTGATATATCATTGATTCTGACATCCTGTGTAACTGTTTTTCTTGCAAGAGGCTGCAATTTTTACTCTGATGATGAACTTCATTTGAGTGGAATTAATGGCCTTTTTTTGCTGTCAATTTTGCTTGCCGTTTTCTTGAGACTTCTAAAAAGTACAATTCTCAATATTGTTAGAGCTTGAGCTGAAGTTGTATGAGAGAATGTATTTGCTGTGTGGATACCTGCATGACTCACAGAACGAAATGTTGAATGGCCATACTTATATTTGGTTATAATTATGAATTTTCTTGTAGGTTACCTCTGATGTGAAAGCCTGCAGAATATTATTTATATTTCTCCCCTGCAGCAAGAGAACCATCTATATCTCTATCTTCAAGAAGATAGCCCCCAAACTTTCCGTCATGTATTTGACTCTTTGAAGTGAATTGTCATTTGTCAATATGCTTTGTCTTCATACATAAATTTCTTTCCGAATGAGACAATATTTTATGATTAATATAATTCATTGCTGAATTGTTATGTGAGTTGGGGAACGTTTTACTTTATCATGGGCTTTTAGGTCTACTCCCTTCGATTCTAGATGAAGGAGCTAGTTAAGGGATTTGGTATAAGATTTCAATATATTTTATTTGTGAAGTTATATTTTCCCCCAAACTATTCCTATTGATTACATTTATTTATAGGTGTTGCTATCAATATGGGAAATAATTAAAGGGGGCATTTTAGGTAAACTAATACATATTGTTTATAAATAACTAACTAAACTAATTTTCTCACTATGTGTAAATTAGTAATCTAGTTCTTCTATATAGGACTGGAAGGAGTATAATATTTGATAAGTAGATATTGTTTTTTAAAAAATTGGCAAAGTTTCATTCACTTGACAGATTGGTTAAAATTTAACACAGGTGAGAGTTGATGCAATTATTAACTGCTTATATGAATTGTCAAGTGTATTGACATCTTGTTCAATTGCACAAGGATTGATGCCCATATGATTGTAATTTTTGTGGAATCAGAGAGATCAATAAATAAATGACATTATTTGACGTTCAAAGACACCAGAGCATAAGTCCTTCATATAACAGGAGGTGACATGAGTAGTCATCTATCTAGCATGTAGTCGTCTGAGAGGTATATGAGTGCGCGCGCCTAATATTAATAGTTGCCTCTATATGTCACTTCAAGTTTATTATGAAAGCTTAGAAGTGAATGAGAAATGAAATAGGCTTCAATGCTTAGTGCAGCTACCACACAGTAAGACATCTTAACGGGGCAAATTCTAGTTGCAATGAACACCTACAATGTTGGGCATAATGGATGCAAAAATTTGACTGTGTTAGGCGCCATGTCTGAAATAATATACAATAGACATGGAATTTTTATATATTTATTTTTTGAAAAAATGCGCAGAAAATTGAGATATAAGCTGGTGCAGGTAGAAACCAAACCCATAGGTTCCCATGTACCTTTTCCTTTTGACATCCATAATGTTGCATTTGCACGTACTTGAATTTCGGTGCCCAGTTATAAAGTAAGCGACGACTACAACTAAGAATTCTTTTTTTTTTCCCCCTCTTGGACCACTTAGCTAAGAATTGTTTTACGTACAACAATTTTCTTGTGCATCCAGTACTTGACTTTGACGTTGGCGGCCTGAAAAATGTGTAGAATTAAGCTGGGGCTAAACATTTGGCAGAATTTTAGGACGCAGCTCGATCTCAGACTCATAAGTGGAAGCGTGAAACCACTTCGAATGTTGTAATGTTGTTCAGTGTTAGCTTTTAGGCATGTTGCCATATTCTGTTGTTTCTTTCTTTCTTTCGGTAAAACCGTTGTTTCTTTTTCAATTGACCTTTTAGTATAGTTTTACGTTAAAAAAAGTTATGTAATAAAGAAACTAGTATTTGACAAAGTCATTTGAATAAAGTTGGATGTACTCATGCATAGAAAAATGAACAATCTTAAAACTTTGTAGATGTTATAAGTTTCTGTAAGAAAAATTAACAGGCAGTCACTAAAAAAAATCAATTTCAAAGATAAATGCTAATTTTAGAATTTTATTTAAAAAATGATAACAACTGAAACAAGAGTAAAGTATCATCCCCCAAAAAAAAGTATTTTTGCTTTTAAACCTATAAATATTCCATTGGTGAAGAGAACTATCCTTGTTCCACTATTTGATTGCTGGTGACCTTTCTTTCATTCTTTCTTTTTGAAGATCTTTATTGTTTTTCGTCTTTTTTGTATGTATATATTGCTTTGTCTTTCTCCTACACATTTTGAAGCAGTGGTAAGAGAAAGGGATAGAAATATCAGAGCAGACTAAATAATAAGAGAATACACTAATTGTAGGTGTTTATAATGCTTGACACAAGGAATCATGTCCGCTTGACAGGATGGTGAATTCTTCTGTCAGGAACTAAACTAAGCATTACAAAAGAAGGTGAGAAAACAATGTAACTACTATAATTCTCACTTCCTCTTTTTAGCAGGTGGCTGAGGAACTTCATCCTCCTCTTCCTCTTCTTCCTCCTCTTCCTCTTCCTCATCTTCATCTTCTCGATCATCGTCGTCATCTTCACCATCGTCGTCGTCGTCATCAGATCCTCCAGCACCATTGGCCTCCGCATCATCGTCAGGATCCCCTTCTTCGTCACCTTCTTCACCTGAGAATTCCTCTCCTCCATCATCTTCCTGATCATTTCCCTCTTCATCATCTTCCTCATCATCTTCGTCTGTGTCACTTGCATCTTTGTTTTCTAGGCAAGCATGTTTTCCTTTAAGGAGTTCTTCTAAAGGAAAGCTGACAAAAGAATGAAAATACATCAGAATAAGTAATTTTCCAACTCTAAAAGAACAATCTTGCCTTATAAGGAGATGCGTAGAATTTACCTTCCATCCATCCTGCACGATTTGGGTGAAGCTGAATCATTGATGTTGAGGAGCAGGGATCCAGCCTGAGTGATAAACAAATATGGAGACGTCAGAATTTTCACTCAACTCACTGTCACAGTTGTATTATATTGGAGGACGTTATACATCAAACCCGTCAAAATGATTTCAAACGTACCAAAGCTTGTGACGATCACAAAATTTGGGCAGAAAAAAAGGACACCATCCCACCACGAAACTACAATTATAATTTAAAATTTAAGCATAGCCTCTCAAGTAAGGATTAAGGATCAAATGATGACCTGCTTAAATTGATCAATTAGCAGTTTTTCAGCAATACTAATATTTTGGAGAGAATTCACAAGAAGAAAGAAAGACAGACTGATGAAAGGCCAGAAGGACACAAAAAAAAAAAATTCCCTTTTTCAGGCATAACAGAAATAGAGCAGGAAAAAATCGAAATCACATTTAAAGAGCAAAAACTTCAAAATGAAGCATACTCTTGAAGCAAACACGATCTTCTGGAGAATCCATGATAGTCAACTCGTCTATAGAAGTCACTTTTTGAAGAGCAAAGTTTTTTATTTTACAAATAGGGGATGTGCAAATGACTATAAAAATCAAATTTATCATCAGCAATGAAGAAACAGCAGATAACGGAAGCACCAAAATACATTGTGAATGCTCTAAACCTGATTTATATATATAGAAGGGGGAAAACCATGCCGGACAGAAGTCAAAGAGAAACAAACATAACACTAGGTGGCACATGTGTTATCCGAAGCAATTAACGAGCATCTCAAAAGGGTAAACATTAAAGTGCATTCAATCTCAACATATAAAAAGCAAACTAAGACTTTGCTCTAAACACTATTGAATTCGCGATTGAATTGAACAGAACGAACCATGTGCAGGATTTGAATTACAAGCCAATAAGCAAACTCGGTGTATAAGTGCACCCTTCTTTCTAGCAAAATGAAGGATGAACACAGAGTTGTGCTCCATTATTTCAAAGTATTATAGTATCATTCTCCCATCCACAAAGACAATTCTTTACCAAGAAAAATTTCTTATATCTTTATGATCAGGTATGAATTTAAGATGATAATGTGAAAAGTAATTTCTATAGTTCCGCATCGCATGATGGAATTTTCTTAAATTTTATAATTTGATTTGCAAACTTAACAATAGAAATTGTTTTTTCCCCAGTTCCCATTCAAAAAAGGGGGTGGTTTAGCTTAAGCAGCAAATATATTGACCAAAAGTTACATGACGTTTCAGCATAATCCTAGAGCCCTTTTCAAAAGAAGAAGCAAGCGAATGAATGAATAATTGAAAATGAAACAAACAAACAAAGAAGAAACATAACACTCCAATGAAACCCTGAACCTACAGTGCAGAGCATAAAAGCGTAGCTGAAAATTGTGGAAGGAAAACTATCAGATACGCCATTAACAGAAATGACAATCACGTTTAAGTTGTAGGTTAAAAAAAAAATAGTGACAATAATTATTGTAATACCACTAGAAGAAGGCAGGCCAGAGATTGGGAGGCAAGAAGAGATTCCACCGCCACAGCAACCTTCACGAAAGAGGCAATCCACATGTTCCTCTCGGCGAAGCAGAAGGCTGAAACCTCCATTGCCAACGTTTCGAACAGAGACCAATTTCAGTGGGAGAGACTGGAAAGAAGAGAATAGGCGTGTTCTGACTTGTGAGGGTATCACTGTGTGTGTGGTCCGGTTAGGGTAAGACCCTGGCCACATCTTGGTCCGGTTAGATTTCCTGCGAGCAAATTTGCTATTGCAACGTGCATTATAATTTTTTTTTTTGGGCCAAACAACACATTTATAATTATAAATTTTTAATTATATTACAAATCGATAAATTATTCTTCATCGTTCATCAATTTTTTGGATATATTTATTAAAAAATTATAATATCCATGATCCATATCCAAAGACTATCGTTTATTATTAATTTAAAAATTAAACTAATTCAAGAATATTAATCCAAGCCTTGCCTCATTTAGAATATATGAAGAATCAGTCGAGACAAATACTTATATTTAATATCTAATTATATTTCAAATAAAATTATTTTTAACAAGAGAATACCGTGTGCAATAAAAATATCTATGTCAAAAATCTTCAACAATTTTTTGTAATCATTTCAGTCCTGTGTGCCAATATTGAGCCACTCTGCTTATATATTCCCTCTGGTCCTATTTATAGAGTAAAGAGAGGATAATTTTTTAATTCTATTTATAAGTCATATCATTAAATTTTTATCATAAATTTTTTTATCCTCCATTAAATATTAGAGAGAGAAAATATATTATTGAAGTGTGTATATTTAATAGAGGTAAAATCAATAACTTATTAGATTTTAAGACAAAGTTAATGAGTTTTAAAATTTTTTTAATATTGATAAAATATATTAAAAGTGACTTATAAATAAGACTGGAGTAATATAAGGTATCCTTGAAAACAAAAATAAGATAACGAGCAAGAGGATCAAAATAGCAATTAGGCTGAAGGCACTGTGAAACAACACAGAAGGCCATGGGTCCTTAAATTAAGTGCAATTATTATGTAAACAGAGATCGAGAGGAGGAGAAAGAACAGAAATATGAAAAAAGAGAATGAGAGAATTGAAAACTTTTTCTCCTTTATATGACACTGTCACCGGCCACTAGAGATATCACACAAATGGCCATAGCTCCTTCGCCATTGAGAAGGCCACCATCACTTATGGCCAAAACATCCTTGTGAGACCTCCAACTATCACAACAATGGTCAAATGTTGGTTAACTTTTGCCAAAGGGTAAGGGCTCAAGGGGGCATTTAAACGCTTGACTTATTGGTTATCCAAAATACAAGTTATCATTGAACTATTAAATACTTTAAAATAATGCTCCATTCTTTCTTGACTATAAAACAACTTTGAAAGAATTTCATTATCTCAAAATGTAAGGCAATTTAAGAAAACTAAGGCTTTACTAATGATATTTTTTTTAATATCACCTTTTAAATGAAAAAAGAATTAAAATGATATTATAAAGTAATGATTGAGTGTGTAAAAGTATTTTTGAAAGTTTATAATTTTATTTTGAAAAACTAAGCCTGTAAAATATCATCATTTTATTTTATTGATATGCATAATTTTATCTCAAATTATCTTATAAATTAGAAGGAAGGGAGTATTTTACAAAAGAAAAAGCTTATATACTTAGTTTTATATGTATAATGTACTTATATCTAATTAAATCAAGAGATGTGTATATTTTTATAGATTATTTTTGTATAATAAATTCTTGTTATTAATTAAATTAATACATTAAAATTTACATGTTATGATTTGATTTGATATAAATATATTAAATATATAAGATTAAGTATATAAGTCTTATCCTTTTACAAAATATGACTTGTTCATATGCAAACATGACTCAGTGGTGTTCAAAAAAAACAAATTGTTAATTTCCAAAATTCAACTTGTTCCTAAATCATTAACAAGTTATCAATATTATATTATATAAAATAACGTATATTATAAGTTGAGCTTCCAGGAATTTTCATGAGTTATTACTGATCCTACGTTATTAAAATTCGATCCATAATTTGTCAACATATACACGCAAAAACAAATTGTCAATGAATATGACTTGTTTTTTCAAATATTAACAAATTATGTTTGCACATAGACAAGTTATTATTCAGGTGTTAACAACTTATCTGAAATTAATCACAACTCACAAAACTGCTTGAAAACTTAATTTATAACATATGTCGTTTTATTTAACATAATATTAATAATTTGTCAATATTTTATGAACAAGTTGTAAAAAATTTAAACAAGTTAAATTTTTGAAATTGACAATTTGTTTTTTAAATATTAGCAAATCATACTCACATACTGATAAGTTATTGTTTGGATATCAATAACTCATCTACAATTAGCAACAATCAACATAAACACTTGAAAATGAAATTTATGATATATGTTATATTTTGTAACATATATCTTAAAATAGTTGGTGATTCAATGATAATTTAAATTTTAGTTCAAATCCCCCTTAACTCCTTGCCACAGTTCATGGAACCAAGTTACATTATCAGTTACACACTCCTCCAATCATTGCCATCTTGGGCAAGACAGAAGGTGAGTTCATGTATAGGCTTGTCAATAATGTATAACCTAATAATAGTAAAATCTCAAGGTTTTACTGCCATTTCTTCAATATAATAGTAACCACAAGTTAACTGCGTCGGTAAAGTATGTGGAAATTCCTTAGAGAGGTCTATTTTGTTGTCCTTGATAGCCCGGCAAAAATAACTTCTGTTGTAGTCCACTTTTATGCTCATGAAAAAAAAAGTAATTAAAAATAATTTATAATATTTGCTATGACTTTTAAATGATTTTTATTTTCAATAAACTTTCATGCCTAGTTTCATCAACTTAATCATATTATTTTTAAAATAATTTTATTTGCAGCATTGTATAGAATTGAGAATGCAAGTTAAGCTTGACGAGCACTGTTCTTTTAAGTTTGGGTTTGAAAAATTGAAAAATTTTAGAGTAATCATGCTTCTAAATTTGACATTTAAACCTTGCAAAAATATACTCGAGCTGTCCATTTAGGTCATTTTTTATGTTACCCGTAAAAATATTTTAAAATTAAATTTATATTTTAAAATACATGTTTATATTTAAAATTAACTTTCATATTATTTGTGAATATTATATTTTAAATGTACAAATATGTTGGATTTTTTTAACGCAAGTCAAGACTCTCAAGTCTCACACGAACTTGAATAGCACTCCCAATTCCTGTTTCAGATCTGTTCCTAAAATATATCTGGCTAAAAAAAAAAAAACACTTGTTGTTTTAAAAAAATAAATAAAATGGTCGCAGAACATGAATCAATCAATTGAAATGAAAAAGGTAGAAGATAACATCGTGCCTGTGAAGAAAATAACAATAGACAGTGATGTCCATGTGGTAGCATTAACAATACTCGACTAAAGATATTTTCAGATATTGAGGTCACATTGTTGATAAGTTCACTTAATATCTTTCTGAAAACACACGCATTACGCATGGACACGAGCATTTGAAGTACTTTATACGATTATACGATTTGGCAATTAAAATATTGTATAATAATTGCTTTTAAAAAAGAAATAAAAATATCAAAACAAAATTCAAATTCAAACACTGAAACGCCGAATGGCCAAACTAATTATTTACGTGTACTGAGGAGAGAGGCTGGTGGCCGAGAAAATAATTAGGGTTTTGAAAGTTTCCAAGCACTTCAAAGTCATAGAGCGATGACGTATTATTGATAATTGATATAATCATCGTTATCATTTTATATATAATTTTTATCCCATGTGAGTGCCTTTGCACAATATCATACATAAAGACTATTTATAAAAAAAATGATAATAAAATATTTTTAAAATATATAAATAATAATTTAGTCTCTTAAAATACTATAATTCTCTTAAAATTTTTAAAAATTTTTCTATCATTAATGAATTTATATAAATTATTACATTATTTTTGTTGAAAATAAATGATTCACAAATTTTTTTCTTAAATTTGTAACAATGTAATAGCAAATAAAAGTTATGATTTGTTATTGTATTATTACAAATATAAAAAGAAAAGTCGTGAATAATTTATTTTCAATAAAGATAATTTAATAATTTGTATAAACTTATTAATAATAAAAAAGCCTTAGAAATTTCAGAAAAATTATGACATTTTAATAGATTAAATTATCATTTATATATTTAAAAGAGATTTTATTATTATTTTTTCATTTCTATGTGAATCCTATGCTTGATTTTTTTTTCCGCATTAGGAGTATCTCTTTCAGAGATTAATCTCCCACTATATTTTTTCTATTATACATTTATATACATTTTTGAAATTATATAATTTTTCAAAAAAAATATTTGACTCAATTAAAACTTATTTTTAAAATTCTGACTTGGTGAAACTTAATTTTTTATAATTTTAATTTGTTTAAAATTCAATTCCAGAGTTTTTAGTTGGTGTGGCTTGGTTTTTACAGTTTCAATTGCTTTTAATGGTAGCTCTTTCATTTCAGAAAATAAAATTATAAAGGCCAAGTTATTTTTTAAAGTTATAGATCAATATTTTAAATAATTAAAATTAAAATAATTGACTTATATTAAGCCAAAATTTAAAAATTGAATTTTAATTGAACTAAAAGGACCTTTTGTTGTTGTGAATTGTATTTTTTACTAGCGATAATTCTATTTGAGGATGATTATACATTAAATATGGATAATTCTTTCAGTAGAAATTAATCAAGTCATGTGGAACTAACATTTTTTGTTAGATCCAACTTTTGTTGATTTAAAGATAAAAATTTACCTTAGTCAAAATCATAGGGATTAAATGAATAATATTTCCAAATTGTTAATAAATTGAATCATCACAGTTTTGAAAACTTAAAATTAAAGAAATATATTTGTCATGTTTAAAACGTATATTAAATTTTCTCAAACATAAAAAAATCAAACACCAACATTTCGCAAGTTTTATAAAAAATTAAAAATTATATTTATTTTAAATACATATAAATATTTTAAAATGTATATTTTTTAAAAAATATTTTTGAAAAATTAATAAAAACAATAAATTTACGCTATAATTTTAAAAAATATCAACATAGAGTTAAATTGACAGAATACTAAAATATTTGAATT